GGGGTGGGGGGGGGGGGGGGGGGGGGGGGGGTGGGGGAATGAGACCTGGGGTTAAGAGTGGGGGGTTTGTAATGCAGTGGCCCCCCTCTCCCACCCCCCACCCCCTGGAATGATCACAAGGTTGAGTCTCGGCCATGGTGGCAAAGTGCTCGCGCGCCGAGAGGGATGGTGGGTGGACGGGAGTCCGTCTCTGTCTATTTGCGGCTCAGCAGGGACCCCAGGAGGACGACGCCGGCCACGGTGGCCCCCGTCAAGAGCCACTTGTTGAAGCGTTCCTGGCCTTTCCTGCTCTTGGCCGCCGCGTCGTTGCCGTAGACATCCACAAAGCGCTCCTGAAAGGGAGAGAGAGAGAGAAAACAAAAGGGGGTTAAAAAAGGAGGACGAGTCGGGCAGAAAGGTCCTCTGAGACCCAACTTCACGCTGGAAGGTGAGCAGAAAGCGCTGGCAAGGGACGGAAAGCAGGAGCAACAGACCCACCACTGTCGCGGAAGGAGAAAAACAAACAGCCAGGCCCTTGACGTCACACCCAAAGGGCCACACAAAAGGCCAACGGGCTTCTTCTTCTGCCTGTCTGGCCTCTGGCCTTGTGACCTCCCGGAAGGTGACCGGCTGTTCCTCACCTCTGCTTTCTTTCAACACAGGCCACTTGCTTCGGGGTGCCTGCCCTCGTTCCCAAGCTACCTCTGGAATGCTGAGGGCCGAGTAGACGGCATTCCTCCGTCCAGGTGAAGCAAGAGATGCGGGCTGGAGGAACAACTCCTGCAGCATCTCAGTTTGGCTTTTTTAAGTCCCTCGCCCGGATGCCTGCGGAAAGAAAGGCATTTGGAAACAGGGGCCGGGTTGGGCGAAGGTTCAAGGAGCCACCCAGAGATTGAGCAGGGCTGCCTTTCGTTGGGGTCTGGGTGAAGGCAGGACTGCAGTGGCTGGCAACTCCCGTTAAGTCTGGGGGCCCATTTTCTGCCCCAGAATCCTCTGGGGATCATGCAGACTGCCAACCGTGCGAGACACCTGGCAACAGGGATACAGAAGAGCCCAGAAGTGCAATTTTTTTTTTAAACTTGGGCTTTTGTATGTGTGTGTTAAACAATGTGGGATGGGGGGCAAGGAAAGTGACCTGCAACTTATTTAAAAGGCGAACCACTGCTCCTGGAAGTGTTCTTTCTTCCTTTCTTTAAGAAAACCTTTTTTGGGCGCAGATGGCAGGGAGGTGCCCAGCCATGCCCTCCAGGGGTAGCCCCTGAAAATACTCCCGTAGGGCCACACGCGCTGAAGAAAGTGGCTTGTGTTGAAAGAAAGGAAAAGTAAAGGCCACTCTTGTCCCTTTCCTGTGCAAAGCAGAATATTACAAAATTTGCTGCGGAAAGGCTTGCCACGGCTTTTGGATTCACTCTGCAAGAACTGGGGGCTGGAGGAGAAGTGACGGATGGCGGTTCCTGGCCAGGAGCTTGGAACAGACCTTCTCGGTGCTGATGTGTAGGATGCCCTTGGCTGGATTCCTTCTTGCCCAGTCACTGGGGAAGGAAATGACTGGGTTTTTTTTTCCTTCTGCATCAGGCACAGCCCTGATGGGCCGGCGTGGCTTTTGAGGGTTAACAGAAACCTGTCCAGCTGAAGCCCTGCGCACACGAAACACAGGATCTTGCAAACTTCCAGCCTGAATTAATTGAGGGTATCCCTCAATTCATTAATTGAGACTGTGCTGTCAAAGTGTGCAGTATCACCGGAGTCTGGAATGATTACTTTTAAAAAACAAACAAACCTACAATTCCTAAAGACCCTGGAGCATGGTAGCTGGGGGTTGTGAGGGCTGTAGTTGCCCAAATCAACTTTTCCCAGCACCGTCTATAGCTGCCACCAGTCTGAGAACTGGAAGGGACTCTATGGACCAATGAATCCATCCCCGGTCAAGGAGACACGGTGGTGGCTCCGCAGCCGGATGCCCAAACCACTGAACTATCCAGCAGTCGAACAGAGAGGGGAAAGCCTGCTCTTTGGCATGCATGGAAACGGTAAGAAGTAGCGTACACTGCATCTTTCAAGGATGCCTACCTAACTTGAGCCACATCTTTCCCATTCTGTTTCCTGTATACAGTTACCCTGCTTGGCAGTCCTGTCCATTCTCAGACAAACCAGCCATTCTGTCTATGGCTTTTGCTCCCTTGTAATGTTCCTTCTATATCATGAGGATCAGATTTTGATGTCCTCCAGGCCGTGTCTGAGGCCCCTTAGAGCGACACCATGTCGTTCTGGGACACATGACGTTTTGGGACAGACAGTCTTGTTCCGGCATATTTACATAAATTCTGACTAATTCACTTTTCCAAATGGGGAAGGCGGGCATTTAATGTCACGTCGGTTCAGGCCAAATTGTTACCCCCAAATTGTATCGCACCACTTTTCTAAATTCAACACCTACACGGCAGTCATCTTTCAACCACTTCCTTTCAAGATGCCCGGCCTCTTGTTCTTCCTGATCTTTGCTCAGTCATCAGTCATGTCCGTCAAGGGCTCTGCGTGACTTTCAACCTCAGACACCACTTTCCCTTCCCTGCACAGAAGCTGGTCTGAGAACAGCTTCTGCTGGAATGTTTGTGGCGCTCCCATGACATCGCTCCATCCCAGCTAATCAACAAAGACTCCCCTGCAGGCGCAACCCAGGACAAGAGAAACACGCGAAGTTAACACTTGCAAAAGATTGCAGGATCTGGCCACAAAACTGCTATTTCCTTCTGCACAAACTTTGACACACCCACATCCACCCACCCCACATTGCCCAAGGAAGGAAAAGGCCCTGCTTCTTCCAGGGTGCCCAACATGGCTATTCAGAGAAGGCAAGAAGATTGCGGGCAAAACACAAGACTCATCACGAGGAAGGAAAAGCCGTCACACTACTAGACAGAAGGCCCACCACAAGACCTGGGCAGGAACGCTATCTCACCACGAGGGACCACATGGATGTTGTTCTACCCAAAAGAAACCCTTGCAAGCATTCTAACCCCTTTCGCAGACACCGTGAGACTGCATAGCCCCCCGAAAGTGCCCAATGATGGCTGGCAGGGAGGCCCGCCTCCTCCCAGGTGACCCCAATGGTGCTCCAATGGAACACCTGAGGCCGCCGTCCGGACTGGGAGGCCTACATCCTAGACCTGAAGCACAGGGTTATCTGCAGGTGGATGCCCGCCTTAGTCCGTTGTGTCTGACCAACCCATTGCTCAGCCTCCTCTTTCAAGACCTTCCAGCATTTCCATCACTGTCCGGCATCCCGTCCAGGTTTGGCAAGTTCAGCTCCCCGGGGGGGGGGGGGGAGGAGGAGTCCAAGCTGTGGACCAGAACCCAAACCTAGAGCATGGAGTGGCCCTCCAAAGAACGGAACCATGACTTCATTGACAACACATGTAGTACTTCTGCAAACACAACCCAAAATAGACTGGCCATCAGCCGGGCCACCCTGTGCCGGCAACAAGATCATCATATGTCTGGCTCGTTATTAGCTTGTTCCCCAAATTTTTCTCGGTACAGAGATTCTCCCCCCTCCGAACTCACTCTCCCTGCCCCCCCCCCGCTGATTGTGCACTTATTTATTGCTTCCCAGGTCAACAAACAGTTTCGTGAGCCCAAGCTTTATTCTCTGGCTGTCCGAAGAGTTTTCAGTTCTTCTGCAAACCTGCCCCATAGAATGCAATGGCAACACCATTCTCCGAGGCTTTAGCCAGCCTTGGGAAGACTTCCCTGCCGGGTAGAATTCTGCCAGGGCTGGGGCAATGTCCGTGCCAACCCCTGGGCTTCTTTGCCTGCTCCTTGCCGAGAGCCAAGCCTCATGAGAAGGCATGCAGAGAGCTGTTTCTTCAAGTTGGAGCTGAGAGATCAACAGGAGCTTTCCTAAGCCCAGCTGATCCTGCTTCCAGTGGCCTTCTCCTGCTTTAAGACAGAGGGAGGGTTGCATTAAAAGCGCTGTCCTTGTCTAGGCAATTGCAGAAGGCACCTCCTTTCCTTTCTGGCACCGCACAGCCTGAGCATCAAGAAAAAGGAAGGGGCTAAGGAAAGCAGGATAACCTTGTAACAAGTTGACGCAGAAGCATTTCAAATATGCATGCACCAAGCATTCTGTCATTCTATCAGGACCGAGCAATGCAGGCAGTGAAAGCATGTCCGTCAAATATCTTCTTCCGTCTCTGCTGCAATCTTTTCTCGGTTCTGTGACGAGATGGTCACCTTTGGGGCACGTGCCTTTAAAAGCCTTCCTGCTGAACAATTCTCCACTTGGGGTTCAGCTCACTCCCCATAAAGCCAATGCTCAAGTGTTTAGGGTGGGTGGAGGCTGTCGAAGGGCATGGCTTCCGGTGCAGCTCATGTGCTCAGACCCAGAACCCAGCCTGGCCCAGGCTCACCTAGCAAAAAAAGGGCTAGCCCCACCACCCCCACCCTCTTGGATCAACCAGCTGGGAGAGGAAGGGGCTTAACAAGGCCGGCGCTGGACGAAGCCCCTTTCTGGAAATGGCTCAACCCCTGAACTCATTTAGGGAAGCAGCCCAGACCTCCTTGACCTGCCTGTCGCTGGCAAGCGATGCTGGGATCCTGGGTCCCTGGTGGATTCGCTCCCAGCGGGCCAGCGACATTTCATACTTTCCTCTCTTTAGAGGCCATCTCAAAGCTGTCTGAAGCCATGCATCCCAAAGCCACAGCCTGGGTCGCAGAGATAAACCTACGAGAGGCGGGAACATGCCCCCTCCTGCCCCCACAACAACGAGCTCTTGGAAGAGAGGCCTCGAGGCCGGGTCTTCTCCTCGCTCAGCTCCAAGCCAGGCACAGCCCGGCGTCTCCTTGGCACAGGTGAAAAGTCCAAGTCCCTCCTTTAACTGGCCTGGGAAGACCGAGCGGCCGACAGCTGGCTCCCCCCCCATGGCTTGCGGCCAGCCTCTCGGTGTCGGCCACAGAACAGGCCGAAGACCCTCCCCTCCTGTTGTCGTAGCACCTGCGAAGCACCCTGGGCCCACCACCATCCTTTGCTCCCCCTGCCCACTGTTGCTTTGGGGGGAGAGAGAGGCATACGGAAGGAAGAGATCCAAATGAAGAGATACTCCAGAGCACCTGCTCTGTGGGAGAAGGCTGAATGGCGTAGGGTGATACACAATTAGGCAGGGATTCCCCCTTCCATAATACTAGGATGTAGGGGAAAGGGGTGAGGTGGGGGTCTTCCCATGGAACGGTCTGGCAGGAGATTCATGCGGAGAGAAGGAAGAAAGGGAAGAAACACGCTCAGAGTCTTCCGTGTCAGAAGAGGTCAGCACAGAGGGGAAAACAGTGACAGATTTATGAATGCCCAAGCAAGAGC